GCTTGAACCGATGTGGAAAATTATTTTTTTGTTTTAAAGAATATACTTTCCAGATGATCCCACGGTAATCGATCATGATCAGGTCAGGATCTGATGATGGGATCTTAGAGAAATCAAGGGAACTCTTCAATAAATGACAGCAAATCAACCGCGATTGCTGCTATCGCGTATCTATGCATTCTTCGCAGTCACACAGTATAATATCACGCATGTACCCACTAAAGGGACGTAAGTCTCAACTAAAAATGGTAACATAAAAAACTTTTTTGAAAAGAATATAACCTACCTCTAAAACAAACAGAAAAAAGTGTAAAATAATTACGTTTTCTTTGTTTTTGTATTTTATTGTAGGTAATGCAAATATTACTGTAGGTACTATGTATTCTAAATAGGTAGTACTTACCATAGCTAGCTATAATAGCCCACAGGCAACTCCCTGAAGTATATGCCAACCAGTGTCAGGACAACTGCTTTTTCGACTGCGCGATTTTGATTTGAGTGGGGCTTTTATGAAGGTTAATTAAATAAATAAAAAGTGTTAGTTTGTAAATTGTTTATTGATTGTTTGTGTTCAATAGCGGTTTGAAATATTCTCTTAGTACTTAGAAAGTTATCAACAATAGGCATTGTGTCACTACAGGGACAAGCACAAACGTCTATCAAAATAGTCATCATCATCATCATCATTACAGCCCTTCACAAGTCCACTGCTGAACATAGGCCTCCCCCAAGGTATGCCACAAAGCACGGTCCTGATCTACCTGCATCCATCGACTTCCTGCATGTCTTACCAGGTCGTCACTCCATCTAGTGGGGGGTCGCCCTACACTTCGCCTGCCAGTTTTTTCCCCAACGGTTGTTGAATCTTCGAGCTATATGGCCGGTCCATTGCCACTTCAGCTTACTAATCCGTTGGGCTATGTCGGTCACTCTGGTTCTACTGCGGATATCCTCATTTCTAAGTTTATCAGGCAGAGAAATGCCCTCCGAGCATAGCCCTCTCCATAGCTCGCTGAGCGACTTTGAGCGTCCTCATACGGCCAGCAGTGAACAACCACGTCTCGGTACCGTATGTCATCACTGGCAACACGTACTGGTTGTACAATCTAGTTTTCAGGTTTTGAGGTATACCTGACGAGTAGATGCGTCGTAATTTCCCGAACGCTGCCCAGCCGAGTTGAATCCATCGATTGACCTATCAGTCGAAGTTGGACTTACCTAGTCGGACTATTTGTCCCAGGTAAACGTACTCGTCAACAACTTCGAGCTTAGTGCTCCCAACAACTACCGGCATAGGTGTGACATGAACATTAAACATGATCTTTGTTTTCATCTTAAGATCTATCCGTTGGGATGCACTATTGGGGTCATTAAGCATAGTGCTTAAGTCCTCCAGCGATTCTGCCATAAGGACTATATCGTCGGCAAATCGAAGGTAAGTGATGTACTCGCCATTGATGTTAATACCGTATCCTTTCCAGTCCAGTAGCTTGAAAACATAGCAGCGGTGAAGAGTTTCGGAGAAGTAACGTCACCCTATCTTACAACTCTCTGCAGTTGGATAGGTTTCGTACTCTGGTTCTGTACTCGGATAGCCATCGTAGCCCTACTGTACAAAGACTTCAGCACTTCGATATACCGACAGTCAACTTGGCACCGCTGAAGAGACTGTAGCACCGCCCAAATTTCGATGGAATCAAAGGCTTTCTCATAGTCCACATACGCCAGGCAAAGTGACAGATTGTACTCTTCGGACTTCTGTACAATTTGCCGAAGGGTACGTATGTGGTCTATGGTACTAAAGCCTTTTCGGAAACCAGCTTGTTCGGGAGGCTGGAAGTCGTTGAGTCTGCGTGCGAGACGTATGACGATTCGTCATCTCTCTCGAAAACAGCACGTAGACTCGGCTCAGAAGGGATATCGGTCTGTAGTTCTTCAAGAGGGCGTTGTCACCTTTCTTGAAGAACAAGACCACCGCACTTCTGCTCCACGCATCCGGAGTAGTGCCACCATGGAGGACGGAATTAAAGAGTCTCTGAAGGACCTCAAGTACCGGTTTTCCATCCGCTTTCAGAAGCTCCGCTGTAATTCCATCCTTGCCCAAGGACTTGCCGTTTTTAAGGTGCTGGAGAGCCATTCTAATCTCGCTCGGACTGACGTCCGGGATATCATCGGAATAGTGTCGGATAAGACTTGCTCTTGGATCGTTACTCGCACTTACGTTTGGCTCCAGCGATGATGTGTACAGCTGCCCATAGAACCTCTCAATCTCACTCAGAATCTCAGGCCTATTTTGATTATTATCGAAATAGTAACGTACATAAACGGTATACAACGTAACGGTACACAAAAACTTCCTTACGGAAGTCCAAGAACACGTCTAGACAAGGTAAGTAATTAGAAGAAAACTACAATTTAGAGATCGATTGTAAATCAAATTCACAGTACCGACACAATTGGCGAAATATAAATAAAATTTTGATTTATATTATGAATTATGATAGATAACGCCTGTTGAAAACTAAACACTGTGTGGGAATGACATCACTGAACGAGTCAGTTGGTCAGTACAAACAAATAAAAGGCGCGATTGTACTAGAAAGAGATTCGTTACGAAATGTTTGTAGGCTAGGGGGTTTGGCCTGTTTATGCTATTGATAACGAAGGCTATAAAATATGTACAACTTAGAAACTAAATCCTATGTGTACTTATCTGTATTCATAATCCAATATGAGGTAGGTTGATGCGCTCCTTAGTTTTTATATAGTACCGGACTTCCGAGCTTTCGTACCATCGTACAAGATTTAATATACCTACATATTATTATCGATCAAAAAAAAAACCCTTTAATTTCAAATTTATTTTTACTATTTGTTGTTATAGCGGCAACAGATATACACGTTCTGTGAAAATTACAACCATCTATTTACCTATTACGGATCATGAGATACAGCCCGCTGACAGACAGACACACGGACAGCGGAGGCTTCGTAATAGGGCCCTGCTGGTTACCCTTCGGGTACGGAATCCTAAAAACGTACTTAGTTGTCCACTCACATCTGTATGGTTCTTTTTTCAAAGGACCATATTAGACACCTGCCTGGTTCTCGAATGACATGACCGATATACCTCTCTGAATTTGTTTCGGCAGATCGGGTGCTTCTTCTCACTTTCATGTTTTTATGGTGTTAAAGTGTTTTAAAAAAAAAAAAATTTTGTTTATCACTGACTGCCCTTCTTAGATTCTTATGTACTTACATAAATTGGATTAGGTATATTAGTATCTTTGATTATATCAGGTATATAATCAAAGATTAGGATATTAGATTCCTATACGTAAGCACGATTATAGAAAATCTAAAAATTGCCTATTCTAATTAAATTAATAGATAATTTTAAGATTTTCTATAATCGTGCTTATCAAATATTAATGAGATGTTTTCGTTAGTTAGCAAATTAAAGTAGTTAAGTACCTAATGTACTACCTGTATCGAAAGTTCATTATTATGTACCTACCTGTTTTCAATTTTAACTAAATGTGCTTCAACAAACTTATGGGTACATTTTAGCAGCTATATTCATCCCGGCTTCAGCAAGTGGACACGAACAAAAGGAAGCAATTTTTCTAAATAAAGATTTAGATATGTAGGTATTACAGCAGCGGCTAACCTAGTGAGCATATGCGCCCCCCTCCGTCCGTCCCACTGATCGGGGAGGCAATTTGTAGCGAAAGGCATGATGTTTTATAACAAAAACGAGCGCGCGAAATTCTATAAACAGACCTTTGGGAATCTAGATATCACGAAAAATCTATTGAATGTATCTGTTCAAAATAAAATTATTTGCATGTTTTGTATATATCCCTGTATGGTAACTGTTTTGCAATTTTCGTTCTTCTTATGGTATTTATTTCTGCCCAAAGATGTGTTAAAATTAGTGTTGAAATTTGGAATTTTCGATGCTCATAACTTTTAAACATGATCTTTTATTACTTTTTTGTTTCCATACAGGGCTAGATAATGATGATACAAATTGAAATCATTTTTTATTTTGTACGTACACCATCAAACAGTGGAGTAATCGCTAGACTACGTTTGTATGGAAGAATGAGTGACTAGTGTACCCTTAAATACACGAACTCATTCACTTGCTCAACCAAATTTATTTATATTCTTAATTCACATAGGTATTGTTTTACTTTCTACTCTTTCAACACTTTCGTCTTACTTGTGTGTACTTTAATTCTCCTTTTTTTTGATGATACGTTCATTTAGGTATGTAAGCATCATTTGCAACTCCCCTACAGGCGATGCAATTTAATTGACTGAGATCACTTCGGGGTACAAGAAGCATTTCCCTACAAAATTTCTTCATAACCCACATTCTTCATCTCTCGAAAGTTCCAAACAATTATTCATAAACTGATTGAACAGGCATGGGAAACCTACACACACTAAAACACTACATGACACCCGTTTGGTTGTTTAAACAGTGTGTGCAGGCCCCGTTGATCCTGACACAAGCACAGAGACCCCATTATTAAATAAATAGATTTTAATGTCTGTTTTAGATCAGCGCTCAACCCAAACGTGGCCAACATTTGCTTAAAGCACCCCTGTCCACCTTGTCATGGACATTTCAAAGTCTAAAAATGCACTGCAAACTAGTAAAAAACTTACTAGTGTAAAGTTACTGCAATCAGACATGTCTGTAATATATATAACAAAGGACAAACTATATTTTTATAGTTTGAATAAAAAACAAGTTACAGATGTAATATAATATACCAATTTATTGAAAATAAAGGGCGGCTTCTTAAACATTAACTTCGCAGTTAAAACAACCATTAATTATGCTCATTCATAACTAATATTTAATAACTCGAGTAAATAAACAAAAATCATAATAATTAAAACAGTTAAAATCTGCCTGCAGATTATTAAGTACTAAAATAATAATAACAGTAATAATGAATTTTAAAATCTTTGTGACGAATTAACTAATTTCTAAAGATTCTTTTAGTTTCTCTAACATCCATATCAGATTCCGTATCAGAGAAGTCTTGTGGTTCGGGTGTTTCAAATACTAAACCAGCTGTTCCCTGTAAAAAAAATATATAATTGTTTTTACAAAGTATTTAATGGCCGTAGCACAATAAATAATAGTACTACGTAGTAGTAGGTCAGGAACTAAGCGCTCGCTATAATTTTTTTTATAGGATAGGGTAACAAACGAGCACACAGGCCACCTGATGGTAAGTGGTTGCTGTGGCCCATAGACATCTACATCTATCCTCGATTACGAATCAAATGATGATAATGCGTTGTCACCCGTGAGGACTGTTTTAAAATAAGTACAAAATGGAATGCCTCGTTTCCAGTAAAAAGGGTCTCCGGTTCTCTACACTCACCATACGAAATACAGCAGCATTGAGCTGCAATATTACGCTGGTGTTGTGTGAGCGCATGGTCCTACTCCGGTCGAGTCTTTTCATTCGCGCTACAAATATACAGCTGCAGAATGGCTCTACCGCGTTAACACTTCAAAAATTATGCACATCAAAAATTTAATTTTCAAATGTAGTCATACTTACAACAGGTCGACTGGACTTGTTGAAGGACTGTCTCCAGACATCTCTGACAAACTGTAGCGGGTTGACAAATTCATGTGCTATTCCGCTGAAATTAAAATGATAATTGTAAACTTTCCGTAGCTTATTAATTTAAAATAAAACTTCATTAATTAATAAGGTGACTATGTTGCTTATGCTTTCATTGTTTCTTAAGATAAATGTCAAATTTATGTTAGTGTTATAAAATGATAATTTCTGAAAGAAATAAAGTTATTTGCATTAACTTAGTCATGCATTACATGGTGCGAATTAAATAATTAAGAACATTATTATTCGCTTTAAGCACTATAATTATGACTTGTTATTCACTGATAAGATGTATCAATAATAGGTAAGATAAGGAAAGTTTAATGCTACAGTGTAATGGTGTATACGTAAGACAAGGATAAGTATTAATATTAGAAAGGGATGACAAAAGCCTCCAATATAATCCCGAGAGTCGTGTAGTAATGTGTTTGTCAACTCTCGCGAGTGTGTTAAATATGTTAAAAGTATTTACTTTTATTGATAAAAATAACGAAATAATAATAGAAATTCATAAGAAAATTAAAGTCGTTTAATTGTGCTTAAAGGTTTTAATTCGCGAAATAAACTGTAATATTGTTAGATATGTGAATTCAATGGGAATTATATTAATAAAGTTTAAATTAGACATTTAAGGTGGATTTTAGCTTCCGGGCTAGGTTAGAAGTCGCTCAATTTGCAATTCATTGGAAAATAGCTACAGTTTCCAGTTATATATCAATGAAGAAAACCAAATTAGAGAAAGTAAAGTGAAAGTTATAAAGTAGTGAAATTTCAGTATTGTATTTTCAAGAGGCAATTTGACAATAGATGTTTTATTTGAAGAATCTTTCAGTGTCCACCCTTAAATTAGAGAAATATACATGACTGACGTCAGGATCGGGACCATTCCTTAAAGACCCGTAATCTTATTTGTCAACCCCTTTATTTTGAAAAAGTGGTTAAGGTTCTAAGTCGGTGTTGTTATGGCGTATGGCGTAAATTATACAATTTTGGTTTCGTTAGATTCAGTACACCTAAATCTATATATGTACGTTTCTTTTATAGTAATTCAGTATAGTAGATATAAATTAAAAATAAAAACGCTCGAGGAAGGTTTTAGTCAAAAATATATATATTTAAATGCTAATAATTTAAATTGCTCGAAGAACCGACAACCAATGGGGGAAAAAGGTTCTCGAGTGGCAGCCCCGTACCGGTAGGCGTAGTGTAGGGCGACGAAGTGACGACTTGGTAAGAGACATGCAGGAAGTCGATGGATGCAGGTGGCTCAGGACCGTGCTTTGTGGCATTACTTTAGGGGAGGCCTATGTTCAGCAGTGGACTTGTGAAGGGCTGTGATGATGATGATGATAATGAACTTATATCGTGCGCAATAGTTATTTAAAATAAATATGTACGGAACTAGTTTTTCATTACATTTACATTTTTCAAAAATAATGAAATTAGATTATGTTTACGTGAGGAAAAACGTTATCGCTTTTTGTACGAAAATTTACAGCCTCACAATGCTATTTAAGCATGCAACAAACTTTCGTGTCAACTAGTACTACAAGATATCAAAACCAATCACCCAACTCCATACTGGATGGATTAACTCACCCTGCTGTGGGCATTTCGATGACAGGGTTGTCCAGCCCTAGTTGCGTTATACCCCCTGATGCGTTGTTTTCATATCTCACTCTGTGAAGTAATATAGAATTTGTAATTCAAGAGACTCGTGGCAACTCAGAAGAACCGCGGTCGCTCAGAGGCAAAGTATATCACGGTATACGAGCAAGCGAAACCCAAACCAAGTAGGATCTCCGCCGGCACCAATGAAATTGTAGATTGCAATTTCAAGTGCTGATTTTCAAAGCACTAGGTGACGAAGGAAAGCATCGTAAGAAAACCAAGAACGTCTAAGAGATAAAATGTTTAGAGGATATATGAAATCCACCAAGTGACATTCCTCACCATAGAATACTATAATACACAATAGAATTGCTGTCAACGTTATTTTGTACCGAGGTTCGACATCGCCGGGAGCACACATACAAGCAATTACGTCATATTATCAGTTAATCACTACTACAAACCCGATTCGCTGTGTTGACAAACGGATTTTAATACATATTTATTTGTAAATAGAAATTTGGCAGTTTCTAAATAATTTCCATGGGAAATTTGGAAACGATTGTAACGTCAAAATACGTCTCGTGTTGACATTTATACGTGTGAATTGATGTGTTAGTAACATTTTAGTGGCTAGACGGGCCCCGCCCACTCCCCCGTTCTATTATGTATGTATTATAGTACTCTATGTTCCTCACTCTAAAAACCTCTCACAAACGAGAGCAGTAGACCGGTGTTTAGTAATCAATATATTTGACAAAATAATAAACTACTTTTGTGCCGCGTGACCCGTCCAGCTTCGCCCGAGTATGTATACGTACTGTTAACGTGGCGTTATTTAGAATTATGATAATCAAATACCATTTATTTCATTAATTTTTTGTTCTTTCCAAAAATAATTCTAGATTATACGATAAAATATAGCCTAGATCCCTTTTTGGTACGGCTGTTCGTAAATATTCATCACAATTGGTTTGGCCACACCTCCGATTAGAGCGGCAAGAATTTAAAAAGTGATTATTATGTCTATAGCATGCAAATAGCCACGTGAGCATATTAGAAGTCAATTCTTTTAATATTACAGACAGACTGATAATATTACCTTAATTTTATTTATATGTGTAAAGTTTTAATATTGGATAATGTGTACATAACATATTATACATAGTACTGATGGTACTCGGGCCCGGCGCGTTGCCGCCACAGAAGAAATAATTGTGAAAATATTGTTTTAAATCTGAAAGAGTTATATTGTTTAATGAGGAATAATAAAAAATTCATTGATGTTGAATGACATATAACTTTCAAATAAATTTGTCGGTACGATACGCGCGCCACCTAGTGTAAGTTAATCGTACTATAACCTACGCGCAAGCGCGAGCAATAAGTTGAAAAAGTTTTGGCACAATCTGATGAACGGTATGGCAGCGCATAAAATCCGAACAAACAAATATTAATTTTTATATAATTAGATATACTACATAATACGGGCGTCCTTTAACGATAAGGAGGATTGGTCACAATCGTCACATAGAATAAAACTATTATTTACGGATTTTATCGCGTTTAATGACTACTTTAATTTATATTTATTATCCCGACGTTTCGGGTGCTTTACAGCACCCATGGTCACGGTGGGGACTGAGATGTTTAACGTCCCAATGTCATAGTTAGTCCGGCTACCTTCAGTTTTTGAATATTAATTTTTTGTCCGAAAAAAAAATAAAAATAATAAAAAATATTACACTGTACAGCACCCGAAACGTCGGGATAATAAATATAAATTCAAGTAGTAATTAAACGCGATAAATTCCGTAAATAATAGTTTTATTCAATGTGTAGTGTTCGTGTAAATTTAAGAAATCATTACAATCGTCACGTTTAAGAGCCGTATTAGAAATGTCAGTGGCAGACGTCTCACATTAACACAGCCTGTCACTGGTCTTAGTATTTTTTTTCTTTACAGGCCCGAAGTTCACAATTGAAGGTGGACCTTTCCCGGTGTAAAGCGAATTATTTGCCTTAATAGTCACAACATCGATCGAGCTGAAGACGATCACAGGAGCAGACATCTTCCACCTTTGATGTTGCTGCTCGTCGCCGGTCGGGGTTCTTTACACCTGGCACATAACGGAAGCCATAAGATTTTTTGGGCATATCACATACTCGCCTCTTACCGACACCCACGGAGCGACATTGGGTGATTGAATTCGCTTAAGCTGTAACACATGGTCTTGGTATTTTACGTCTTGTTAATAGAAGATGGTTGCACTGCTCTATGGAAAGCGTCCCGGTATTTTTATATTCGACTGTTAGAATATATACAAAAAGTGATAAGAGCACACAGTCCACCTGATGGTACGGGAGTGCTGTGACCCATAGACAACTGTATACGTGAGGGTAATATGGAACATCCGGTCAATATGGGCACTTCCGTAAACTTAAAAACGATAGCGTTGTTTGCATAGATGCCTCTGTGATACGATAGCTCTTCATCAGTAAATCAAATAATAAAGGGTCACAAAGGCGCTGCTTTATCGACGCCATTTTAACAGTTGACATTATAGTAAATATTTTAGTTGATTTTAGTATTGTGTAGTGTAGTTAATGTTTTTTAAGTTGATTTTTCTAAATGTTCCTAATTATTGCCAAAGCTTGTTTGCTATTATTTTCTTAATATATTAGTTATAGGATACGACTTTGTGTTTTTATTTATTTTATTTATTTGACGACATTTACAGAAAAAAAATAAGAAGTTTACTGCCATGTAAGGTTTGTTGCAATAAATCATTTTCCTTACATATTAATATAGTCCGTAATATTACAAACAACTAGAAATTACATGATACCTCTATCAATTTTCTATGTAAATAGTTATATTTTTTTGTCATCAGCATTTTATCCAAAAAATTGTCTCTGTCTTTCTCCTAGTTTTGGTTTTATAGGGAGGAAAAGGTTAAGATGGCCATATTACCCTGACGTACCTTACAACTAGACATTTACAACTATGGAGCGATAGATTCCAGTCCGCCATTCGGAGCATAAACAAGTGATTTTTTTTCAATGGAGTCTAATTGATCGCCAATCCACTGCGGTTGATGCCAATCTGGTTGTATACTATTTACTGGCTGATGAGAGAAAAAGAGATTAAATGAGTGAAATCGTCACGTTGTAGTGCAACAAACACTTACTGCATGTATTCCCCAGCACGGTCTTTGGACGGTCGACGCACGAAGTGGTAATACAGAAAGAGACAGAGGTACGCGGCGAACAGAAGCAGCACGATGATCACCAGCGTGTAGGAGAAGTGGCTCGCGCGGACGTAGTCCTGTTGCGACCAGCCGTTGAACAGCGGCAGCTATTACAAAGAAACAAATTCGTGTAAGTATAAGACTGAAATGTGCAAAATTAAAAGAGAAAACCACTGAGGCAGTTTTGTGCATAGAATACTGTAATACATACATAATTGAAAGGGAGAGTGGGCGGAGCCCGTGTAGCCACTAATATTTCACTAACAATTCACACGTATATAACATACAGTTTCATTCCCGCAAATTATTTAGAAAATGCCAAATTGCACACATACAAATAAATATGTATTAAAATCTGTCTGTCAACACAGCGAATCGGGTTTGTAGTAGCCATAATACTACGTTATTGCTTGTATGTGTGCTCCCGACGACGCCTATCTTCGTACAAAATAAGGTTGACAGCCATTCTATTGTGTATTGTAATATTCTATGGTTTTGTGTATTAATATAATACTGTAGAAACTGATAAACTTTTATTTAAAATTAACTTGTTAATGAAATGTGTTACATTACATTGTGTAAAAAAAACTTCACCTCGGTGACGACAGCGACATCTGGTAAGCGGAAGATTATTAGCCCTCGTTCCCAATGCTGTGGTAATCGCTTTGTTCAAGTATGATAGTGAAAGTTGGCAGAAGGAAAACAGCGCAGTCATCATCATCATTACAGCTCTTAATAAGTCCACTGCCTTTTTTCTTCTTTTTTTAAAAATGTTACCTCCACACTAGGACTTTCTCCTGTATCGTGGGGGCAGTTCACAAACATAAATTTCACAAGGAGAAACATCCAGACCCGGAACAATTACTTGTAGGCCATACAAATACTTGTTCCGTGAGGGATTCGAACCCGCGGCCCTCAGCGCTGTAACTCGCTGCTAAGCCACTACGCCACGGAGCCGTCAACTCACACCTCTACTCCCCACTACTACTCGTTTCCCAACTGTAAGGTCTTTAAACTGTGCCTTAAGCGAAATTAATACCCCTAAATCGTCCCTTCACGTCCCTGCACGTCTTACAAGGTCATCACTCCATCTAATGGGGGCCACCGCACACGGCGTCCGCTTACTAGTACGAGGTCGATCCACCCCGGCTTCGTACGGGTGAGTTCTGGATCTCAACAACAGCGCAACTTACTGGGTCCAAATGTGAATGTAAATCATCTACGCGTCACACCAATTCTTCAGCCGTTTTTTTAATTTTAATTGATTCTTAGATATAATAGAGATAAGTATAATTAACATTAATTTTAAAAAACTTACCTGGCTCTGCTTCAAGAGAGGGCAGGTGCCATCTGTGGAAATCGCTCCGTCGTCGCAAATACACAGCGGTCCGGATTCGTCCAACACGCAAACATTGGAACAAACAAAGTTTTCGCAGTCGTTCATGATGTCGTCTCGTTGAACACTCTCGTGTCGTAACGCGAAAGTGTTGGCGTCAGACCTAAGGTACAGATACGGTTCACAGGTTTTGGAACCGTGGAGAAGGCAGCGGCTAAGTTTGAACGTGTTCGCGCTGAGGAAGAAAATCGAGTCCTCAAAAATTGCGAGGCCGTGTGGTGCCTGTAGGTTTCGGTCGTTGGAGAGAATCGTTTTGCTGAAACAAAGAAATATTAGTTTAGTCAACACAACTATTTAAAAAATATATAAGTTAAGTAATAATAGTTTAAAAAAACGAACATAAGTAACTATAGCCTTCTTAAGCGATTCCTCATAATGGAAACCGATATGGATATCGATATCGATAGGTACTCATGCCTGCTGGAAAGACAGTTCCATGCCCTAGGGTGAATATTATACTTTAATGTGGGCTTTTTAACATGGCAAAGCTATGCTGCAGTTAACCTATATTACGCTTACTACATTAATTGGTCGACTGGATCGGAAAAGGTCCAATTTCTTTCAAAATATCAGCATAAATTAGCAGTTTAATACAAAACATATAATATTATTATTAAATTACAACACACGCTATAGTTATTATTAAGTAGGATATTGTTGCGCGCCTAAGTTGACGTCTAGCACTAGCGCCATCTGTGTCGGGTAACAGAGCGAGGAGAGCTTACCAGAAAATGACATCACTAATCTTTCAACCGACAGCGCCATCTAGTATCTAATTGAAGAACTAAGCTTTCTAGAAGCCCTACACTCGAACTTGTTTTTTTGTTTGGTGTGTTTTGGAGCAGTTATCTAGTATAAATATAAAAATACATAATTAAATGAAAACTCCAATCAAATGGTTGAGGGTTGGGAGAAAGGGAAAGCAACCGGCGACGATAACGTTTCCATCGTAGTCCATGCGCAGGGTGTATTAGGGCCTTGATCTCAACCACGTAGATGAAGATGTAATAAGTAATGGGTTGTATGAACGAGGCCAGTGAGCATCACACACATGCATGTACACACAGGCAGTTACAGACTATCAACCGATACGTTGCGACACCAATTTTCGATAACTTTAAGCTGTGACGGCGAACAAATATTTCGTGACACACCTTTCGTGTCAAATGCCATATATGCTATCAGCCATGTGTAAAAATCGTAGACAGAAAAACCTATAGACAAATTGACGCCTTCTTTCGCATTCGCACACGAAAAAGATAGATTTATGCATACGTCTTGCATAGAAATGAGATAGAGCGGTGTGATTGTTTGTCCCTTTCTCCGTGCCGGTTTTTTTGTTTAGCAAACTCTACAGTTTGCTAAACAACGTTGATAGCATAGCGATTTAAGGAGTTTACAAGTTGATTTAAGTGAGAAAAAAGTGTTTTGTGAGCTTAAGATTGGTGAATCTTGTTCAGTTCAGTTCTTAGAACAATTAAATTTTTTATTTAAATGTGTTTAAAAGTCATAAAGATTATTGTATAACCTAAAAATTCGTTATCGTCCTTTCTCACTCGAGGCCACGCCGATCATTAGTCTATAGGTTTCTCTGTCTACGGTAAAAATAATATTCCTTTTTCACTTGTTTACACTTGATTAAATTTAGTTGACATTAAACATCAGTTGCAAGCGGAAGAATACTTTGTTTTGAAGACATGTTTTTCTACGTGTTTTCCTTGAAATGCAGAGTTTTCTTTTTACTTATCATAAGCCAGTGCTTGACCACAACCCCGCCAGGTGGTAAGTGGTGATGCAGCCGTAGATGGTAAATCGCACTGTCTTAGCGTAACAAATGCCTATTCACTCGTGCCTTGAAGACGCCCAGATTGTATTCGGACGGAAAGATAGACGCCGGCAAATTATTCCACTCCTTTGCTGTACGGATTAAAAAGTCTTGGTTCTAATGCGTAGAATATCGACAACAAAGGGGTGAAGACCCGCCGACAGCCTGGTAGTCCGATCGTGGAAAGGAGAGGGAGGAATTAAAGGTGATTTCGCGCACATACGAAATGCATTTATAGGATACCGAGAGGCTGGCTACTCTGCGCCTGGTGCTCAAGGCTGACAAGGTTGGTTTCAATCAAATCAAGGTCACCAATGAGCGTCTTAACAAATCTCTCCAATGACTCCAACGCTGCCAGGTGGCATTTTAAAGCACCAGCCGATATGTGACAGCAGTACTACATGTAGGACAGGATTTGCGCTTTATGTAAGATAAGAAGCTGCCCTGGCGTGAAGTACCGCTGCAACTATGCAAGAACACCAAGTTTCCTTGCGGCTGCTTCGGCTCTAAACTTAATGAATCACCCATAGTTAAGGTTCGGAGAAAATTCATTTCAATTCTTTAGTTATTTCCATAGCATTGTCGTATGGTATTTTGCTATGGGGACACGCGATGACACAAATTATATTTATTTTACAGAAGAGGGCCATTAGAGCAATATGTAATTTAAAGCCAAAAGAGTCACTGAGACAAAAATTTAAGGAAATTAATATATTAACTCTGGCCTCTCAATACATTTATGAAAATGTAATGTACGTACACAAAAATAAACGTAGTTTTGCAAAAATAAGTGATATTAATTCTGTAAATACTAGGATCAGATACAAGCTCGTAGTACCAGTTACTAGACTCCACCGAGTCAGTAATTCTATTGGAGCGAGTTTTTTACAATAAAATCCGGGAAAATATACAAAATTTGTCATACACAAAGTTTAGAAATTTGATTAAACTATGTTTGTATAAAAAGGGTTATTATAATATTAAGGAATTTATGGATGATAATAACTCCTGGGAAGGGCGATCGCTACCAAGCTATTTCTAATTTGTCTTGTTTTGTCAATTGTAAACATGATTTTAAGCTATTATTTGAAAAAAAAAATTGTCCCGCTGGGTTTCTTGCTGGTTCTTCCCTGGACAGAGGTTTTTTACGCACCAGTGGTAAATGAAAAAAATTGACTTTCAATAAGTATTGTTTATAATCTACATTGAATAAAAAAGTTTCTATTTCTGTTTCAACCCCTAAGAAATGAAGGCGGTCAGTGTACTCCAAGGATACGAGGGGTGATCCAAAAGTAATGATAATCGGTTATGGTTTTCAGGTCCGCATAAAAATCCAAAAAAAATATTTTTTGCTTGCTTATATACTCACTACGTCAGCCTAAAAAATCATATAAATAGATCACGATTTCCGGGAGATACATTCATTTGAATACGAACTGTCAAAGAGATAACATCAACATGGAGAATAAACGAAATTAGAGCTGTCATCAAGTACCTCTGTTTGAAAAAAATGTTTCAAAAGACATACACAGTGACTTAGTGGAAATATTGGGGGACTCTGCTCCTCCATATTCTGCAGTTGCACGCTGGGGCAAGGAGTTTAAACTGGGCAGAACATCCACTGAAGATGAACATCGCGAAGGACGCCCATCCACGTCCCTCACTGAAGATGGCGTGAAAATAATCGGAGATGTTGTGTTGGCAGATTGAAGCCACTGACCATCAGGCATGTAGCTGATGTCACAGGGATCTCATATGGCAGCGTTCAAAGAATCCTTGCGAACGAGTTGCATATGAAAAAGGTCTCTGCGCGTTGGGTACCCAGAATGTTAACCGACGAGCAAAAGAAAAATCGAGTTGACATTTCGAGAGTCAATCTCGAAAAGTTCCAAACAGATCAAGAAAATTTTTTGTTCCGTTTTGTGACTATGGACGAGACCTGGATCCACCATTTTGATCCTGAAACGAAACAACAATCGATGACTTGGAAGCGAGCCTCCTCACCGACGCCAAAGAAATTCAAAGTTTCAAGTTCGGCGGGAAAGGTTATGGCATCTGTTTTTTGGGACGCTCAAGGCATAATTATGGTGGAATATTTGGAAAAGGGAGCCACTATTACGGGCTCTTACTACGCAGACCAAATAAGAAGATTACGGGAGGCATTAGGAAAAAGACCGGCAAACTAGAGCTGGAGTGTGTAGACGCACCGGCTCACAAAGCCGCAGTTGCGATGGCCGCCATTCAAGAAACGGGATTCGAACTGCTCGAACACCCTCCCTATTCGCCAGATCTAGCTCCTAGTGACTTCTACCTCTTTCCTCGACTCAAGGAACGCCTCCGAGGCAAGAAATTCGAAGACGATAGCGAAGTAATAGCCGCTGTTGAAGCGTTTTGGGAGGGTCAAGACAAAGAATTTTTTTAAAAGGGAATCCTGGGTTTAGAAAAAAGATGGACTAAATATATTGATTTGTTAGGAGACTATGTAGAAAAATAAATTATTATTTTAACTTTAATTACCGTGTTTTATTTTCATTATCATTACTTTTGGATCACCCCTCGTACATTCCGGAAAGTAGGAGCCAGGGTGAGAGGGCTCCTTTTAGCAGTGAAAAGACATGCTTGTGTTTTGGAGGTGTTGAATCCCACGAGATTAGCATCGCTCCATTCGGAGACTGCCTGTAGTGTGAGATTCACACGCTCAACCATTTGCCTGCGCCAGTTCGGCCTGGATTTGATCCAGACTGGCCCACTCCATCTAGTGAGGGGTCGCCCTACACTACTCCTACCGGTACGAGGATGCCAGTCAAGAAAAATTTTGCCCCATCGGTTATCGGTTCTTCGAGCTATAAGAACGGCCCATCGCCACTTCAGCTTACTAATCCGTTGGGCTATGTCAATCACTCTGGTTCTACGGTGGATATCCTCATTTCTAAGTTTATCACGCGGAGAAACTCCGAGCATAGACCTTTCCATAGCTCGCTGAGCGACCTTGGGCGTCCTCATTCGGCCAGATGTGAAGGACCACGTCTTATATCCATAAGTCATCACTAATTATTACTATTATAACACTGACAGATTGTTACCGTCGTTGTGCATAACGCAGTAGGTGTGAGGGTCTGGTTTCAGCCACGTAGAGGCCTAGGTCTAGGAGTGGACATTTATAGGTGGGTAGTAGATAAAGGATTGTATGGATGGGGCCAGTGAGGACACAGACATACATATACGCACGCACGTATACATATTATTTATTATATAATCATATTTAGCTTATTTATTATTTATAAGTACTTATTGTTATTTTTGTGGAATCTTTTGTGGTAAAGCAATACTTTTGTTGCAAGTATTTATTTACTTAATATAATATTGACTTAAATGTTTTATAGTTGTAAGAATTAAACGTATAAACATATATTGTCATTATACTATAATACCCTCATCATAGTTAATATTATTAATATAGCTTTCTTATCTGGTTGGGCTGCATAACATATTTACAAAGAATATGGTAAAGAATACAATATATATAGTAAAATAAATAAATTAGAAAGTACATAAACAAATGATATAATTACAAAACTCACACATCGTTCCCGTCGTAGTCCATGCGCAGCAGGTGCGACGGCGCGGTCTCGGCGACGTAGAGGCGCTGCGCGAACGTGTCCACAGCGAGCCCGCTGCAGTCGCGCAGCGAGCGCACATCGCGCGCCAGTCGTCCCGCCAGCGACGCAGCCCGCACGTTCGACTCCTGCGCGCGCCGCACGCAGTAGAACATGCGCCGCGCGCTCGGATCTATCACCAGTGACGTCACCTGTACGTACACATATATCATTCGTCAAAATGTCCTCACATCTCACGACTTTTGGGCTCCTATCAGGATTGCGAACAAATTTTAGAAATGTCAGGCTTTTTTCAATATTTCAACAAGATACAGTCGGTATTTGCGTAGAAAGGATGCAACGCAACGCATATGCATTTTCATTCGTAATCGAGGATAGATGTAGATGCCTATGTGCCAGAGCAACCATTTACCATCAAATAGACTATGTGCCCGTTTATCACATATCTTATTTAAAAAAACGTGTTATTTCTATCGCATTTCCGCCGGAACCAATTAAATCGTGACTTGCAATTTCAATATGGCTAAAGGACCAACAAGCGATATAGAAGAAAAACTCTAGAATCGCAACTGCAACGGCGGCCCCACACTAGAAGAAAGTGACGACCTAATAGTACATGCCCTAAGTAGGTACATGATGGTGACTCGGTACCTTGATGATGGCGATTGTAAATGCGTTTGTAAATCCATATGTCCACCGTAGTGATTATACCTATAGTAAAGATAGAGGTCCAAACATCCACGCAGCGGAGCGGCGGTGGCCGTACGCCCGCAGCCATCCCCACCCCCCAGTGACGTAAAATATCTTATAAAATTGCATATTTTTTTCTTATTTCGTATCGCATAATCGAATTTTCAAATAAAGCTAGGAAGAAAAGTAATGTTACTTTGTTTGTCATTCTCAATAGACTTTTGGAGACAGAACGTGTTCTACAATGGCTTAAACGCCCAGAAGCCATGCCAAAATATATTAAAAACGTGTTTTACACGTTCCGTTTCAGATTTCGAAAAACTTGCTCATTCGTGACGTGGTTTATGATTTTATGAAGGTTCAAAATAACCAATTTCTTTTTTTATAATTAATTAATCTATGGTTAGACACGATTTTTAATGGTTTTGTACTATGATGTGGAAAGAAAAATAAGTGTACAGACCTTATCTGACAGCTGTTATAACCTCAACGTTTATTTACTTAATATTTCCCTAATATTCATTTTCCCTGGCTTCTAAATGAAAAGATGATAAGTTGTTATGTTATTATATCATCAATGTGTAGAAAGTGGGCATGATTCTTTAGGTATTTTACGCCCCGAGGGATACTTTATTTCATTATCTATTGTGTAATGGTATAGATTGTTCTGTTTTGAGAGTTGTTATTGAGGGTTATTTTTATTTTATCTAATTAATTTATTATAATCTATTTAATATATTTTTCATTGTTAATGTTGCAATAAGTACACATAAATATTTTAATTGATCCACAGTAATCGATTGTTAATCGATGTTGGTTAATAATAATCGATTATATTTACTAACGGTAGCATAGTGGTATGAATAAATAAATAGTACAGTTGCAACCAGTTTTAATAAATAAAATAACCAACTCTAATCAATATTTTTTAAGCAGTACTTGCAATCAATTAGCATATTTTTTTATTATAAAAATATTTGCCGCAACGGCATTGACCGAGCTTATCTCGAGTCAATAATTTCAGGCAGTACATACTTTTTATAAAACACTTGTAACATGGGTAAAATATTCAAAATCCAAAATTTGGCGTCTTTGTAGATTATTAGTACATTTACTGCATAATCTAGGCCAGTCCATATTGCAAGCATGCAGACATTTTTATTCGCCATTATTATGTCTCCAGAGAAATATCCTATTGTTGCGCGGCTAAGTTGACATCACATCTCATGGCATGCTAGCTCTAGCGTCATCTAGTGTCAGGTAACAGAGCGAGGAGAGAGCTTTCCAGAAAATGACATAACTAATTTTTTAACCGACAGCGCCATCTAGTATCAAATTGAAGAACTAAACTTTCTAGAAGCTCTACACTCGATCTTTCTGCGCTTGGTCGGTTGGCGCGCGTATTTACTTGAATATTCTGGATGTTTTCGTGGAAGAGCCCTATATAAAGGCGCTGCAATACGCGATCGGGGAAGTATAAGTGAATCAGTGTGATTAATTATTAGTGTTTTTTTAACTTTCATTATTGTAAAGGGAATTAAAGTGTTAATTTAGGTAATTCTATCGGCAATTTTTATTGTCACTGTGTCACTTTTTATTGTTGTCAATTTTTATTTCTTTTTTTTACGTTTAGTGACACATTGATACTTGTATTTATTTTTGCCCATTCAGATTGATAAGAAAACTCAGCTACAATCAAAATAATTATGAGTAATTCTGGTATAATAATAATTTGCAAACTTTATACTAATTGAAATATACTGTATGAAAGTATATTATACATCCAACGATCAAAAACTGCGATCGTATGTGAGATCTATTACGGAACTCAGGCCAAAATAGCAGCGCCTATAACGGTAATCGACGCACGCTACGATAATATGGAAACGAGACGGAGCGCGCGAAGTCACATAACACAAGTCCGAACTAGACAACCGCTCGCGCGGTAATGATTTCAGACGGCCGGCGCAGGGAAATATATGGTAGTTTTATTTAATTAATTAAAGAATAATAGTAACGATTTAAAAAGTAAAAATTACAGTATAGTTTATGCAAATGTTGACGATTATTTTGGTATAAATTTTACGTCAAAATGATGTAGAACTTCGGAGATCCCAATATCTAGAATAAAGTGTATCGAAGCTTTATCGGTCGTTAATTGAATTATACATACATAAAGACTCACGCCTGTCACCCAGAGGGGTAGGCAGAGACTACAGACTTCCATTTAGCACGATCCTGATATACCTTTCTCGCCTCTTCCACATCCATATACCTACGCATACATGCTCGTCGGTTAAGGGTACTCTTAATTTGGCCCATTTTTAGTATATCGCCAATTTGGTCGTAAAAATTCCGCCTAGGACGTCCCTTTCCGACTCTTCCATTCACTTCTGCAACATATATTTGCTTTGTCAGTCTTTCCGCATTCATTCTTTCTACATGACCAAACCACCGAAGCATTCCTTTCTTAATCCTGGTCACCGCATCATCTTGCAAACCACACTCTTCTTTTATCACACACTTTCTCACCCTGTCACTCAGATTCAGCCCTAACATACTCCTTAGCGACCGCATTTCTACTGCATTTATTATACTCTCGTGCTTCTTCTGCCACACCCAACTTTCACTACCATACGTTAAAGTAGGGACTAATACAGCACTGTGAATTGCCATACGTGCCTTTTTTGACACATTCTGACTTTTCACAGTAGAGTGTAGAGCCCCATTTACTATTTCCTGCATTCACTCGTCGTTCAATATCCTTATCATATCTCCCATCCCTGCTGAATACACATCCCAAATATACGAACTCATCCACTTGCTCAATTAACTCTCCTTCTATTCTTATTTCACATACCGTTTTGCCTCTTTTTTTTTTTTTCTCCTTTTTTTCCTTTTTGAACTCGGCCGCCGACGACGCAAGTATGACTTGATCATCGGCGTACAAAAGGCATTTGATGGTTAACTCACCCATTCTTAACCCGCATTCTTCAACTTTCAAATTTTCCAAACAGCTGTCCATAAATAGGTTGAACAGCCACGGGGAAGCTACACAGCCCTGTCTGACACCTTTATGGATGCCAAACCAGTCCGAGTAGACCCCGTTGATTCTAACACAAGCACTCGAGTCCCTATACAGAGACTTTAATGCCTGTATCAAACCAGCGCTCAACCTAATGCGTTCAGCGTTTGCCATAACACATCCCTGTCCACTCTGTCATAAGCCTTTTCCAAGTCCATGAACGCACAAAAAACTTTTTGGTTTTTCGCCAAAAACTTCTCCGCGACCATGCGCATGGAAAAGACTTGATCTGTACCCCCCATTCCCTTTCTAAATCCCACTTGCACATCCCAAATTTTTTTCATCAGTTTCTTTCATAACTCTTTCAATTAGTACGTTAGCATACAGTTTTCCCACAATGCTAAGAAGGCTGATACCACGGTAGTTTTTACAGTCCTGCTGTGACCCTTTTCCCTTATATATTGGGACTATCACGGCTTTGCACCAGTCTCCCGGTACCCGCTTTAGTTCCCAAGATAAATTAAACAAGGTGTACAGCAGGTCTGCCACCACGTCCTCTCCAGCCCTTAGCATTTCGAGTGAAACTCTATCATATCCGGCTGCCTTACCAACTTTCATGCTTTTCATTGCTTTCATTATTTCATCTATATTTATCTCCCTATCTCTTTCATCTTCTTTCGGAATTTCTATTTCATTTAGTTCACACTTCTCCTCACTCATTAATACGCTTTCAAAATATTCCTTCCATCTCTTTAGACTCAACGCTTCATTATTCAGAATACATCCATTCTCGTCTCGTATCGCATTCAATCTAGGCTGTTTTGAAAGTCCCCTGGCAGTTCTTACGAGTTTCCAGAACATTTTAATATTTGCCTGGAAGTTATCCGATATTCTTCTATCATTCCTATCCGTTCTTTCTTGCTTTTTCCTTTCAACTAATTCTTTTACTCTCTTATTTAAACGTTTAAACTCTGCCTTTTTTCTTTCATTCTCATCATTCTTACCGCCAGAATTACCAGCTTTGGTCGCTAGTAAATCTAGCCATGCTCTCTTCTTTGCTTCAACTTCCATACGTACCTCATCATCCCACCATAACGTATTGTCTTTCCTTTCATTCGTTCTCTTACTAACACCACATACTTCGGTAGCTGCATCCACTAAACCTTTCTTAACATTATGCCACACATTCTCCAAGTCTAACTCATTCACACACAACTCATCCAAATTACTTATATTTTCTCTCAGTCTGCATTTGTACTTGTCTTTCACATCTTCATCTTGTAACCTCTCAATTCTTATAAGCTGTAACGCAGTGGTAGACACAGATGTCATTGAATTATGTTGATTTTTTTTTTCCTTATGTGAAAGGCATATAATGAAAATTTATTCTATCATATCATTGGTAAAGTATTGGATATTAGGGAGATAAAAATATTTTTTGATGGTTGTGTGGCCGGTGAGGAAAGAAAAGGGGAGATCTCCCGCCGGGCAAGGTGTTCTGCCCGGGGAGCGGCCTACACTCCGTGTGATAGTTCGGAGAAGTTCTATATATACCGTTTATGATTCGCAATGTTAAATAGCGCGATTTAAGCTTCGGTGTGTTTCGGTGTGCTAGTGGCGCGACGACAGCGCCGCTACATCACCCCCCTGCTCAGACCGGAGGTCGATAGTGCAGCCTCGTTGCCGACGAATGTGCAAGTGCCAGGAGATTGCCTTGTAGTCTGCGGTGAGTCGAGAAGAAGGCAAGTAATCTGCGAGAGTGCCGTGAAGCAGAGGCCAGTAGTATGGCTCAGAGCCGTGATAAATACTGTAGCGCAGAGAGTAGCTTGAAGGAACAGGAAGCACTAAGCCAGTGCAGCGATGAACCTTTTGAAGCTAGATGGCTTGCAGGATATGAAGATTGCAGACGATATCTGCTCGGAAGCGAATCGGTGATGGGTATTCTATGACGATGATGGAACTTGAAGTTTCCGAAGGTTGTTGGTTGCGTGTTCAGATCACGTCGGGGTCACCACTGTGGCCGTGAAGGAAAAGGGGAGATCTCCTGTCGGGCAAGGTATTCTGCCCGGGGAGTGGCCGACACTCCGTGTGATAGTTCGGAGAAGTTCTATATATACTGTTTATGATTCGTAATGTTAATAGCGCGATTTAGGCTTCGGTGTGTTTCGGTATGCTAGTGGCGCGACGACAGCGCCGCTACAGTTGTATTTAATGGAATCTACAAATTAAGAGTCATGTCTCTCAGAGTTGTGGCCTAAACATGCACCGGGAGAATGATTATTACTAAATAAATAAATAAGTTCTCTAAAATTTGCTAACTAATTGTTATTTCAAGCAACGAACGGAAACCATATAATTTCAACAAAGAAACCTTGTAATTTCGCGTTTTTTTTTTGTAACACTCCTCTTAAGTCCGCCCTTGTAACCCCTGGTTGAAAGAGTTTTGCAATAAAAGATAAATAAATAAAAAAATACTTACCGTCTCTAACAACCAGTTAACTGTTTTGGGCTAGTAAGTAGAAGTAGTTCTTTCCTCAATTATATTCAATGGAATGTTAGTAAAAACTTGCAAAAATATACTCACTTGCGCATCAGAAGGCAGCTTCTGTAACTTGGCACACCTCTTTTTCTGAACGTTACACACCCTGAAGCAGCTAGCCGATGGTGTGCTGTCTACGAAGTACACGTTTCCTGTTATCCAGTCCACAGCGACCTGGAAGGAACGTAGGTGATGATACTGAACCTCTGGAAAATTCAGATTATTGCGAATTATGTGAAACTATCATTTTGTACCGTGGGTGTCCATAAGAGGAGACAATGAGAAATGCTAAAATAACCTAATGGCTTCTCATAGATAGCGGTATGACCATCAGGTTTACCACAGATACCCAGCCCGGCGACGAGATGCAACTCCAAAGGTGCGAAACTGAAATCAAAAGACGCCTGCCAAGGGTGGTGATTAGATTATTAACCCCTCAGTCCCCTTAAAATTCCCATGCGGTCGCATGCGTCCGTTAAATCCCGAGCGGTCGCATGCGACCGCACCCACCCACAGCTCTGTAAACCATTAAAACTTATATTTAGAGACTACTTTTTTATGAAAAAGTTTAGCATTATAAAATTTGTACAAAATTCTCTGTATAAAAATCAGGTTTTACTTCATTACAAAAAGACTATTGTATTTTGATAACAAAAACCAAACATACCAAGCGAATGTCGGCAGCGTGAAAATCACAATTATTTCAATATATATTACTCGAAGTTATTTACGTAAAAAGATAAATTATATTCACACAAAAACTTTCATTACAATTTTATAATAAAACACTATACTAAAACACTAGAAAAATCCAAAAATCAACACAATAACATTCACAAAAAAGTGGCGTACGAAATGAACGTAGATTATAAATAAATATCCATAGGATAACTGTTTTTATTTGCACGAGAGTATAGAAAATTTCATATTAATTCTATGCCAACTTTTTTCATAGAAAAGTAGTCTTTAAATATAAGTTTTAATGGTTTAAAGTCCTGTGGGTGTAAGCGGTCGAATCCGACGGAATCAAAAGATCCGATTGAATTTTGACGGAATAGCGCCGCGGTCAAATTCTACCGCTTAAGAGATTGAAGGTTTAAGGTAAATCCTCGCCTACAACGAAGGAGGTCTACCTCGAACAATGGCCTTTGACGAACTGATTATAGTATAAATATGAAGAAGAATATGATATAATCGCAAATCCTTGTGTAAACACAAAGACACTCACTTATTTTACATTCCACTTGCGCATGCTGTCTAAAACAAATGCTTGCCTTTTTTAAATTTTTGTATAAAATATTAAAAAAGGCAATGTTTCTTCTTTTAGTCCTTTACAATATTTGATAGTAGTACCCGGATGACCGAGCTTTGCTCGGTTTTTTTTTTTGGAAATTACATTTAGATACAAATTACATACTGATGAATAATATTTTTTGATCTTATTGACATAATAGAAAAAACTGAACTGGTTATTTGAATAAAAAATCATGAGTGCAATTAGTTTAATTAAAATTTACGTATTTTTAAAAAATACTACAAGAGGGCTCGAAATAATAGATTTTCTCACAAAAGGGAACTTGAAAAAAAAAAAGGAAAAAATCGGACCAAAGACGGGACGCGAACCAACGAATAACGATTTCGCGACCACTCGATATCCATCTGAGCTATTACGGTCGTTACATAGTGTCAAAATTTACCTTCTTATATTGTAGCAGTTTTTTGAGCCTGAAAACACCGACAAAAAGACATTTTCTAAAAATAAATGCTAGCTAGATCGATTTATTGCCCCCAAATTATCGTTGGAGCCGTTTCCGAGATTCCGATTATATATATATATATACATATATATATACAACAATTGCTCGTTTAAAGGTCTAGGGTATAAAAAAATCAGATCAGACTCAAAAATCAAAATCAACTTTTCACTCTTCATTTTTTTCCTATCAGCCAGTGTTTTTACCATTCGACCTAACCGTAAAGATGTAATGTAGCTGAAGTCTTAAGGCTCAAAGGACTTACGATTTTGTTCCCATTTATCGGATGTCAGATCCCATACAAAGTGAAGTCATCATCTCAAAGAGGCTAATAAAAAATTGTATAAAATAAATTCATAAAACAACTATCGAACCCTCGGAGGTCTTGATTAAAAATTTGAGCTGTCAAAAATTACAAATAGCTGCATGTTTTGCGTAAATACTGAAGCATGTTTAACCTAATTTCTTAACTTTTAAGATTCAATGTGGTGTTAGCTCAGACGGATTTCCGCCTGTGTGGTTGTTAGGAACTTCAATAGACCATATAAACAAAACCTATCAAATGCCTATTTATAAACATTTTGTGAAAAAACAGCTGCGTCTTGCTGGAGGCAATAGCGTCCGTGATACATACCTTGGTTGGTCGTCCAATATTAGTAATGGTTATATCGTCACGGGTTGCGTTCACTTCTATGAGTTTCTCAGATGGTGCTGATGCCACGTACAGCAAGTTCTTTCTGAAAAAAAAAACGTTCTATTTGTGATCCTTGCAAAATTAAGGAAATTATATACATGTACAACAAACGTATTGCAATTTACCACAAGCAGATTTGTATTTTATTGACACAACACTTTCTAACAAAAATGACACGTGTTATCTATTACATTAGATTATAGGTAGGTAGGCGAAATGTAGGACGACCCCTGCTAGATGGAAGTGACAGATGTTGGCAACAGATATCCTTAATTGTTACGAAGATACATAACTTCTAAGTCTCATTCGTACTATCTTAAGTTAAAAGATAATTTTTGCCTGGCTTTATCGCAAAATTTCTTAACATACAACTCTATCCTTTCATTTTATCTACACGTGAAAACTTTATAATGGTTAATTTCTACATAAATTTACAAAAAACAATTGATTGTAAACAACTGTAAGTTTCACAAAACCATTAAATAAACCAAATCAATAATATAACATTTGGTTTTATACTATGCGGTTGGATTGAGATTGCCGACAGATGTCGTTGCGGTTAGCCACTGTGGCTGGGGTCCGTCAAACAGGCGTTTATATTACTAAACAAGAAGAAACATCAGTATTTGTTCAAAGTCAAAACATACATCTCTTATTCGGTATCAATTTGTAAGGTAAATCGCAATTACTATTTGAAATCATACAGAATTACAATCGAGTGTCGTGCTCAACCTTCTTAGACTTCTAATAACCGACTAATAACCATGCAGTGGCGGTATAAGAATATCCACTACCCCATATCGTTCCGTGGAGGTAAGGTAAGAAGCGACGGAGCGTAATCATAGTAAAAACAGAATAGTAGGCTCGTAATCTTCTAAGAAATGTATAGAATGCCGCTTTTATGTGTGCGCGCCTGGCACGTGACAGTACGGACTTGTACGCACGAGTCACAGCACGCACTCGACGTACTTGCTAAGTCGGAAAGTAACATGTGTTATGTGTGTGTGGCGCCTGGCACGTGACAGTACTGACTTGTACGCACGAGCCACAGCACGCACACAACGACACTTGCTAAGTCGTAAAGTAATATGTGTTGTGCGTGTGCGTGCATGTGACAGTACTGACTTGTACGCACGAGTCACAGCACGCACACAACGACACTTGCTAAGTCGGAAAGTAATATGTGTGTGTGTGTGTGTGCGCCTGGCATGTGACAGTACTGACTTGTACGCACGAGTCACAGCACGCACACAACGACACTTGCTAAGTCGGAAAGTAATGTGTGTGTGTGTGTGTGTTGTGTGTGTGCGCGCGCCTGGCATGTGACAGTACTGACTTGTACGCACGAGTCACAGCACGCACACCGACACTTGCTAAGTCAGAAAGTAATATGTGTATGTGTGTGTGCGCCTGGCATGTGACAGTACTGACTTGTACGCACGAGCCACAGCACGCACACAACGACACTTGCTAAGTCGGAAAGTAATATGTGTATGTGTGTGTGCGCCTGGCACGTGACAGTACTGACTTGTACGCACGAGTCACAGCACGCACACAGACACTTGCTAAGTCAGAAAGTAATATGTGTATGTGTGTGTGCGCCTGGCATGTGACAGTACTGACTTGTACGCACGAGCCACAGCACGCACACGACACTTGCTAAGTCAGAAAGTAATATGTGTATGTGTGTGTGCGCCTAGCATGTGACAGTACTGACTTGTACGCACGAGTCACAGCACGCACACGACACTTGCTAAGTCAGAAAGTAATATGTGTATGTGTGTGTGCGCCTGGCATGTGACAGTACTGACTTGTACGCACGAGTCACAGCACGCACACGACACTTGCTAAGTCAGAAAGTAATATGTGTATGTGTGTGTGCGCCTGGCATGTGACAGTACTGACTTGTACGCACGAGTCACAGCACGCACACGACACTTGCTAAGTCAGAAAGTAATATGTGTATGTGTGTGTGCGCCTGGCATGTGACAGTACTGACTTGTACGCACGAGTCACAGCACGCACACGACACTTGCTAAGTCAGAAAGTAATATGTGTATGTGTGTGTGCGCCTGGCATGTGACAGTACTGACTTGTACGCACGAGTCACAGCACGCACACGACACTTGCTAAGTCAGAAAGTAATATGTGTATGTGTGTGTGCGCCTGGCATGTGACAGTACTGACTTGTACGCACGAGTCACAGCACGCACACGACACTTGCTAAGTCAGAAAGTAATATGTGTATGTCTGTGTGCGCCTGGCATGTGACAGTACTGACTTGTACGCACGAGTCACAGCACGCACACGACACTTGCTAAGTCAGAAAGTAATATGTGTATGTGTGTGTGCGCCTGGCATGTGACAGTACTGACTTGTACGCACGAGTCACAGCACGCACACGACACTTGCTAAGTCAGAAAGTAATATGTATATGTGTGTGTGTGCGCCTGGCATGTGACAGTACGGACTTGTACGCACGAGTCACAGCACGCACACGACACTTGCTAGTTCAGAAAGTAATATGTGTATGTGTGTGTGCGCCTGGCACGTGACAGTACGGACTTGTACGCACGAGTCACAGCACGCACACGACACTTGCTAAGTCAGAAAGTAATATGTGTATGTGTGTATGCGCCTGGCATGTGACAGTACTGACTTGTACGCACGAACCACAGCACGCACATAATGACACTTGCTGTAGCGTATAGACATTTATAGTTGTGTATAACTCTGTCGTCTCGAGAAGCGCACGCGCGGAATCGCAGGGCGGGGCGGCACTGCCTGACCGACCGTCGCAGGGAGAAGACGTGGACGCTTACTACGAGCCGATATTAGTGTATAATAATAGTGTTACTTGTAATATATACTACTTACAATAGTGTGACTTGTGCTTCCTAAATATTGATCCCTGGGATCTACAGTACATTACATGTGGCGACGAGATAAAATGTGAGTATTTTAAGAATTAAAATAAAAGAAAAGAGAGATAAACATACGTTACATTACAAAATACATAAATCCGACTACAATCGTTGAATAAAACAACCAAGCTTTAATCAAGTGATTATTATGTGAGTAACCTATAAGTTACCTACCTTCTTGAGTTGAATCTCAGTATTTATAACCCATATAGCTGTATAAGTTTTATTAAGTAAAATTAACCACCGAACCTCACGAGTTTCGTTAATCACTGTAGGTAGGTAATAGTTACTATAAGTATTGCCGTTTACTATAGGTTCGTTCGAAGTCACAGCGATTTTGCTGAACAACGACCTGTTCCTACGCAGATGGGACGCAAGGCTTTATTGTCATTATAATTAGGAGATTGGAAAGTAATACAGTGGTTATTGAAACTATCTATATGCGGCGTTTTGTAGTTTTAGATTGTAAATAACTAAATTGTTGCTTTGATCATAGATAATACAAGTTTTCATGCCATTGAAAACACAGACTACAGAATATAAATAGTACAGACTGTACTTGAGTTGTCTGTGTTGAATAAGAGGCTTTTAGCCACTTTGTACCAGTAATAAAGGTAATTCTAATTTTAATCTTTACAGTGTGTTTTGTTGTACATAATAAATATTTTTCTTTTTCCTTTCATTATTCTGAAGTTAATGAATTGATCCACAGTATTAATTAGTTACTTACCTATAAAATAAAAGTGTATTTAAGGTTATCATCGTTACTAACTGATGTTGACTGTATATAACATTTTGACTAAGGAACATGAAGGAAAAGTGAAATAACTAGGTACTCACTTGGCCGTAAGTTGTGTAGGTATCCTCCGTTCACGTTTTAGATATCTAGATTTCTATGGGTGTACATCAGGGGGGAGACATACCTACATATTTGTCAACCTACCTTCCTCATTAAATTGCAGCTGGGCATTCAATTGCGACTGAGCATTTAATTGCGGTATGAGATAGATAATAAAAGCATTAAATTGCGGAGATTACCGGTATAGCATTAAATTGCGTGCATACCTACATAGCATTAAATTGCGTACATACTTACATAGCATTAAATTGCGTACATACATACATAGCATTAAATTGCGTACATACCTACATAGCATTAAAAAGCGAAGTTTACACGGGTTCAAATTTTACGTTAACACTTGGAGCACCCATTCGCCGCTTGGCGGCTGCGCGCTGGGTAATACTCACGTGCAAGTGCCACAGTACTGCACAGTATGACTAGTAAGTGTCGTCATGAGCGCTGAATGTGTACTACGGGTGTAGATACGGGTATCTATGGCATAGTTACAGTCAAGTACACAGACAAGTAGACGATTTAGTACTAGCATTAGATTGCAATAGCGTGTTATAAAATCTATAATATGCAACATTGTTACTACCTTGTCAACAGGTAGCCCCAAATGGCACTGTACACCTTAGAGAAGTTCGAATGTGATGGGGAGGTTGGTTCAGTCTCTGTCCATTGGGAAAGATGGAAAACAAAGTCTAAACATCTTCCTCGAAGCGGCAGGCATAGACTCCGAGGCAAAGAAAAGAGTTAGCCTTTTACATTTTGGTGGCCCCGAGTTACAAGAAGTCTTCTACAACATCCCAGGAGCTAATGCAACTGAAGGCGAACTTTTTAACATCGTGATCGAAAAATTAGACAACTACTTTGCACTCAAACAGAGTAAAGTGTATGAGCGACACCTGTTTCGTCTCATAAAACAGGAACAGGATGAAAAGTTCGAGAAATTTCTTATCAGACTTCGACTGCAGGCAAAGAAATGTCAGTTTGGTGGAAAAGAAGACGAACATATCATAGACCGAATAACGGAAAAGGGTAAAGCAGAAGAACTCCGAAAGAAGATATTGAAAACAGGAGACAAGATCACTTTAGATGAAATAATTGGGGAAGCGAATGCATTGGAAGCCATAGATCGTCAATTAGGAAACTTTAGTACGAAACCTGTAGAAAGTCAATCAACAGAATAGGTACTGAGACATGGAAGGAGAAGCAAAAAAAAGAAGATTGGAATGTAGTAGATGTGGAAGTCCCAGACATTTGGCCCGTGACAAC